GAACCGAACCGAACCGTGAATTTTGTGTATCGTTGCACCCCTAATATATATATATGATGAACAGTTGAGCTAATACAAGGGAAAAAAAGACCTGAAGCCAAACAAAGAAACAAAAGTCTTAGTTTTCCATTCCCATGATAATCAAAGGAAGTCGAGAAGAAAAGCCTCCCTCAGAGAATCACTCAAATGCTGCTAGACTTTAAATCAAAATCTCTGACATTTACAAAAATTCTTGAAAAAGGTTTCTTAATCTTTAAAGTGTGTGTTTAATAATGATTTTGTCTGATTCAATAATTCTCTTTTAATGGGTACATAATTATCTGTTTATGTGTTAAGTCGTGGATTGATAGAGGACTTGGCACAGATTCGCTTTAGCCCTCTCACAGTGATACAGCTGCTAATCTCTGCAGAGCACTAATAAAACTGAAAGCCATGCCAGTGTAATCTCCTCTAATCCCATTCAATTCTTTTAAAACAATTCCCAGCTCTTGTTTGTAAGAGCCAGCACCAAAGAGACAAAACTAATACAGCCGGTTTGACGTTCGCCCCCAGAGATCGGCCCGTGCCGCAGCTAATCAGGGGCTGCGTTATGGAAATGAAATAGCTAGTACGTGAATATTTATGCTTCATTTTAGTGCCTTCATTTTAGTGCCTCTACCACTTGCAGGTACAATCAGAGCTAAGTTAATTGGCTTTGCTAATGCCAACAGGCTGATTCATTGAACGCAACGGGAGAAAGACTATTGAATAACTTCCAGTTAATACGTTTGTTTTCTTACCGGGTTTTGGTTAATGTCTGTGGAGCTCTCATTTCATGAGAAGAAACATTAGGATTAAAGGAAAGCAAAATGGATCTGCAAGCTGTTACAGCGTCTTCTGCAGCTTGAAGCTGACAGGGAAAGTGATTCCCGCTGACTCGAGCTGCAATCAGAGAAATTGATCGTGAGTACGACTGCAGACTGAAGAACCCGAGACGGTGTTTTATTGCACAGAGTGGCCTCGACACCAGGCTATTCCTTTACAGCTGCCTCTTTATTAGAGACTTAAAAACCCTGCAAAAACCCAGGGTTGCTCTCATCCTGGAAAAACTACTTTACTTCAAACAGGTCTAATATTTTAAATTTTCCTCCACAACATGTTACATATTCCACATTTCACGTTTAGGTCCTTCTCTCACCTAAAAACCAAAAGGGTATAAGCTTTTTCTTTATTTCTTTAAATTTTTTATACCCCCAATCCGTCAATTTTCTACTGCTTATCCAGCTTAGCAGTCCAACGAGTGATGCAGATGCCTCACTGTCCAATCCAACCACCTCCAGCACTTCCAGGGCGACACCAAAATGTTCCCAACTGGCAGAAAGACTTTTTCTCCCCAGCATGTCCTGTGTCTGCCCCATGCTTGCCTTCTGGTTGAACCCATAACACCTCAACTCCGAGGCATCTAAGTAAGTCTGGACCCAAGTGGCTCAGAGCTGCACGGTGCTCTAAGCCACTGCTTGTTCGAGAATGTGAATCCTGCCTGCTATTGAAAACCAGTCTAGGCATCTATTCATTATTTTTATTGTTGTCATTTTTGCTTTCTTTTTTTAAAATATGTTTGTCTTTCATTTCATTTATGTTTATCCTTTCCATGTTTTCTACTTCTCTTATACTCTTTTGCACTACTTATTGATGTTACTTAGATTTTTGGAAACGTGTGTGCTTGTGTATACTGGATGAACAGATATTACCTCACTCCATGTTGTTTTCAATGTGCCACATTTAAAAAAAAACTGACTCAACCCAATAAAAATAGATGAAACCAGAGCAGGCCTGCAGGTGAAGGTGATAAGACCTCAGCTTTTACATATAACTACTCCTAGTTACTCAAACGCTGTCGCCGTGAGGCAGCCGTTAATAAAAATATTAACATTTTTTGTAGACTCCCATCGAGCTTTGTGAATCTTTATCGCATTTTCACTGACTGCTTCTGGGGACAACCGAGGGTTTTTGAAAGTCATTTTTAGTTCAAGTGCAGATGTTATACTGATATTACAGTTTTGTAAGTCTCTGAAGAAACATTTAAACCTTCACAGAAAGCCGTAATTAAACACCCGTGTCTTTGAGGTGGGGTAAAGTGCTTCACAGGTCACATAAAAACACACCATTGCAACATTTACTAAATGCTGTCCTCGTTGTCTGGAGGATTTTAAACGTCTTAACTAGTCCCACCGAGTAGCTGTTGCTACCCATACCTGATCCTGTGCTTGTTGATGTCCTCCATTGTGAAGGAGGAGTACTCCCTCAGCTCCTGGTGCTCCTGCTGGGACTGGCTCCTGGTCAGGATGCCGTACATTGGCACCGACACCAGCTGGAGTCGAATCTGGTCATCTGGAGATGAGTCATCCTGAGGGACCAAACAGACTTTAGTGATACTGTACTTAAAATGAAAACAGCAAATCTCACCTACAACTCTTTATTCACAAAATTACTCTGTGCTGTAAAATTTCCCTCATGTCACACACATAGGATACAATGTATAAAACATTGCCTATCTTCCTCCGGTCACCCCCGGCCCTTGGATGGTGTTGCGCATCCATCCTCTGCTTATCCAATTCAGGGTACCTGGGAGGTTGGAGCGTTCCCTTCACCAATCTTTTACAGGGCTATCACATAAAGATAGACAACTATTCACACATGCTGGTAATTTAGAATCACCACCTGCTGTGATCCAACCCCATGCATGTCATTGGACGAGGAAGTTGGAGTACCTGGAGAGAACCCATACAGACATGGGTTCTCTCTAATATATCCAGGTTTGGTTTTGGGATTGGTAATTTTTTGGAAGCCTGCTAAAGAAAACTAACCTTACCTATACTGTAGGCGTCAACAAGAACTTGGCTCTGTTTATTAAATAAGGGTCACCCAGTCACATCAAAGCTGACTTGTAGCTTTAAAGGAAGACGAGGTTTAAAGCTTGTATCAGTCAGTGGATCGACTAACAGTCAGGTACATCTCAGGCCCCTGAAGATTCTTATCTATATCACACATTATAAAATCATCGGGTTGTCCATCAGCATGTAGCTTTATAAAGGCTTCATATTTTAATTTCACAACAATATCATCTCATTTATTTCCACAAAACTGGGATGTTATGAGATAAATGATATAAGGCCTTCATGTTGCCTGGCAACCACTTAGCAATGAACTAAAGTGACATTTGTATAGTTCAGCAAAACCTCAGCCTTGCAAGAGAGACACACAAATTGGCTGATTGTTTTTAAACTAAGAAAAACACATAAGTGTATTCTTTATTTATATATACAACAACACTCACCTATATTTTTTATTTTTCTCTATGCAACCATATCAAACCATACTGTAGCACAGGCATGCACTAGCAAGATAAATGAAGATGATTTTAAACTGTGAACGATGCAAAGTTTCTCCAATGGAGTCCAAAAATAAAAATATGGAGCTGAAAATAAGCTGAATATGTCTCGCCATCATTGAGTGCCTATGCCTGTCTATTCTAGGGCTGATATAGGGATGGACAGCTGGACTTTGAAAGATAGCACCAGGCCACAGAAGCAGCAAACAGGCCCGGAAAGGCCCTAAAATCATCTATTCGAACCATAGCTCGTGCAATATGCATTTGCTGGCTCATGTCTCACAGAACTGCGAGCATAGTTTCGAGTGGGTGCAATCAGCTCCGACCGCCGAGCCCAAACCAGGACGCGACACAGCCTGGGGACAGCCCATTATCAGATCCTACTGTGGATTTTCATGCATGTTTGGTGTGTTCCCTGCTGCTTGGATTTTTTTAAATCCTTTTTTAGTCATGCTTCGTGTTTCGCTTCTTTTCCACTTTCCTGCATCACCATATGTATTCTTCTCCTTTTTCTTCTTCTTCTTCTGTACACCATGTCTTTCTTTTTAATATTATATCTTTCTGAACCTGCCTGCACAACCTCTCTTTTCCACACAAGACCCCATGACACTTGCGTAATACATAAACCAAAGCTCAGCGTAATTCAAACACTAAACACTCTCACTGGCACACAGCTCTCCTAACTCACTGTGTAAGCCAGGTGTGAGCGTCTGATGACAGTGCTGCTTTTCTCGCCCACTTCCAGCGAGAGCGTGGCGATGGGGTCCTGCTGTGGCCCGCTGCCTCCAGCGCCTAGAACCACCACCTGCACTACTGTGGCAGCCATGGAGATACCGTCGCTAACTGAGAAGGTGATGGCATCATCTTGGGTGGAGAGCCCGGAGTGGTGGTAGAGCAGGACATTGCGGGTGACGTCGCTGAAAGTGAAGGTGTCACCTGAAAAGACGGAGGAAATGTGGATGTTACAACTGTAGTTTCATGTGTTGATTTTAGTCCTCCTGCTTTTCTGTTACCTTTCCACCAGAGACGCGGTTATACAAGCAGGGAGAAAGAAGACGTGAGGACAAAAAAAACTGACAATAACTAAATTTTTGAGGCCACAAAAATATTCTTTCTTCTTAAGCGGGCGGCCAAGCTTGTGTTTCACATTAACTTTAAAGCTGGTGTGCAGTTCAACTCAAGCTGAGACTAAAGTAAAAATGACAGGAGCCCTACGAGCCAGCCTCATGTGACTATGCAGTGTTAAAATCTATTAGCTGAACATCAAATGATGTGATAATTTACAGATCCTTAAAAAAGTTTAAAAACTAAAATCAGACAAATAAATGTCCATCCTGTTCCTCTGGTCCCAGCAGTGTCAGTGTGTTGTACTTTACCATTAGTCATGCGAATCTTTGTGTTGCCGTCAGTCTTTATCAGCTCTCCATGGACGGGAGCTTCTACCACCTCGAACTCCAGCTCATCTGGAGCCGTGTCAACGTCGCTCACGGCCAGCTGCTGACCGCCTGCATGCGCCACAGAAATGGAGAAGAGTTAGAAGCATGAACAGCCGGCCCTCAACAAGTTCTCTTCTTAAATAGTTTTTGTACGAGCCTGTTTTTGCGTTTATATAATCTTACCGATGGCAGCTTGTCCTCTGAGGCTGACCTCCAGCAGCGGGTCCAGAACCTGAAACACCGGCGGCTGCTGGTGGTTTGTCAGCAGCAGGACGGCAAAGTCCAGCTCAGGCGTGGTGTGCTCGCCATCTGACACTGAAGCACACGCACGCAAGGAGGAGGAGAAGAAGAATATCATTAAAGCAACCACACAGATCATACATGACACAGAGGAAACACACAGACACAAATTAGTCCAAAAACAAACGCACACCTCTAACACATCACCGCTAATGAGCTTCCCAGCTTCTTTTACTTCACAAAGAAATCTTTTTAAGGAAATTTAACAACCTAAAAGTCAAGATTATAAAAATAAAGCACATCATAGACGCTGAAGTTATTAATTAATAAAGAAAAAACAGAATCAAGCCAAAAAAGGTGTTAGAGTGTAAACTCTACTTAATGGGGCCACTTGTCACTTTGCATTAACACATGATTTAAAATTGAAACAGCAACAAGACAACTGTCAAGAGTCAATTTTGTCACCTGGACATAAATGAGAGGGGAAAAAAACAGCTTTATATAAAAATATATTATGATTTTATTATTTTGCTGCTCTTTTGTTTTACCTTATAACAAATTATTCAATAATCTGAATTAAAAAGACAAAATTCCCGAGAGTTTTCACCACTGTGTGACTCTGATGGTGTAGCTCTTAACACATTTAATTGGCAAGTAAAAGGTTGCTGGTTTGATTCCAGCTGGAGACACAAATACCCTTCGGGTTTGTGTCAGCAAGGGTAAAACTCGAGTGGCACCAGAGATATTTTCTCTCTTCCACACATTTCTGATCATTTTAAACTCAAATTTTCTTCCTTCAGACTGAAACGTTTAGGCTTTAGATGAGTGCCGTCGTGAAAGTAAGTGAAGGGCCGCAATTGAAACGACAGTCCCACAATAGTGCTGAATTATGCTGAAGCTCCAAACAGATTGCTTTAACTTTTTCATGTCTCTGAAATAAAACAAGAAGCTACTTAGAGAGATTACTTTATTGTTAAATTGTATTTATTAGAAATATTGTTGCTACCAAATTTCCTGTTATTGTTAATAAAACTTTGTGTTTCACTGTAGAGCAGGGGTCTCAAACTTAAATGAGTTGTGTGCCGCTGCCGGCACGGTCATCTCATGTTAGGGCCGCTTTAGTGTTCAACTTGTACAAACAAACAAACAAACAAACAAACAAGAAAACACCCACAAATATTTACGAAAAAGTCATGTTTTGTGTGTTTTTTAAAGTTTCAAATATTGCATAACAAGACAAAACTGCAAATGTGAAAGCATTATTTTTCTCACTCTTAACTAACTGAAGCCGTTCATTGAACTACCAAATAAACAAATCTGTACTGTCTTTGTGGCCGGACACGTGGCAGCACTTCTGCTACAATTTTGTTCGTATTTAACAAAATAAAAGCGCAGACATAAGTGTGCACATTAGTTTTTGACTCTCTCAGTGAACTAACACAGCCAATCCCTCGACATGTTTGTGCTCTCTGCTCATGTTGCATTCATAGAGAACTTATTTTAACATTGCACTCAACAACAAACAAATCCTACCTAACAAAAAAAGTAACTTCAGTGGCTAAATTGCTTATATTTCTTCATGTCAATATACTAGCTGTAAGTAGGGGTGACGCGGACCGCAAGTGGGCCCCGAGCCGCGGGTTTGAGACCCCTGCTGTAGATAGACATGAATATTCTGCCCAACAAGATACAAGGGGACAATTTTCTCTACCCATAGTAAGAACCAATTCATTTAGAAGCACAGGTTTGTACAGGGCTACGGAGGCATTTCAATGAAGATACAAATAAAACTACAAAACCTTTAAAACAACATTTATTTGCTGTAACTTTTAACCACAGGTAGAAATTCTTAGAATGAAGTCACGCTTTTGTCTTTGCTCCAGTAATGATGGATCGTGGTTGAACAGGGTGAGCACTAACCATCAGTGCTTACCCTGATACGAGGCACACTCTGTGCTATAAGGAGCTGTTTTTGTTGTCTGCGTTTAAAAGCTGAACCAACATTATCATTTTAAATCATTTATTATTACAGTTCATGGTTGCATCAATGAATGAAGAAAAACTAAATGAGCACAGACACAAAGTACACGGTTAAACTGATGAACATGAATGAAGTCATCAATCTGATTCAGATTAATCCAATAATGACTGTTTATGAAGTGTTTTATGTACAGTTATTAATTTTAATGATGAATAAACTTTGATCACTTAGAGTAATTGGAATAACTGAGAGGGTGATTTCTCTGAAACACCATAAAATCGTGACACTTGATGAAAACTTATTCACACAGCTCAGCTGACTGAGAGCTGCAATATTTATAGTTTATCATAGTAAGAGTTTGTTTGCACTTACAGTGTAAGTAGAGTGACCTTTGTTTGAACTGAGTTAAACTGCAATACAGACTTATTACAATCATTTGTCTGTCAGATTCAATACAATAAAACTGGTGTTATTGCTTTTTGGAGGGCTGTTTAGTTGCTTAGCTGTTAGCTGTGCTGTAATTCACTGTAAATTAGTCTAAACACACAAGTGGACTTCAGTGTTGTGTGTCTGTTAAGCAATTTCCTGTTTTATTTTGGAAGTCTTAGTCTGATCACACTGCTGTCTTTACTTCCTTTATGACTCTTATTTATTTATTCTATATATTTGCAGCATCTCTGTGCTCGCTGATGCATCATCTTCCCCTCTTGTTTAGCCAAGTCTTCCAGCACTCCTGTTTTTAGTTATATTCCTCTGAGGTCACACTTGAGCTTCTCGTGTACGACCTTTCCTGGATTTTTCCCAGGAATTTTCCTTTGTTTACTCCTTGCAGATCTGTTTGGCTCGCTACCGTTCACATGTATGACCGGTGCCTGTTTTTGCATTTGTTTTCAGTATTGCTGCTTTCTTTCTCAGCCTCCAGGTCTCCTGTCATTAAAGTTAAACACCAGAACAGAACAGAAACAGCGCAGTGAGTGAAAGTTCGACTTAATGTCTCAGTTTGAGAGCTGATGAATAATTTGGAACGGATTAAAGCCAGAAAACTGCCACCGTGTTTTTGTCGGTCCACACAATGAATTTCTAAAAAAATATTTAAAGAGGAAAGCAGCAAATGCATGTAATTAACAAAAGCTGATTACTAATGAAAGGTGTGCTTGTAACTAATCAGTTAACTGGCTAGTCTGCTGATTACATAATGAAGAAGACAAGAGGTATGAACCTGATTAAAAAATTAAATGCTCAAATTAAATATAAAAACAATATCTGAGCGCGTACAGCAGCTGTTCAGGTAAATGTAATTTATCTTCTGCGCTGCAGATCAGCAACAGTGTCCTGATAACTGCAGCTGAGCTTTGGGTAAAGGTCATTTTTCCTCTTTTAGGGGCCTATAGAAGTCACTTAAGACTGAACTGGAGCAGAGGCTGAAAGCACTGTGTGCTCCCGAGGACCGACACTAAAGTGAAAAACACTTTGGTGACACCTGTAACCACAGACTGCTGTTGGGGTGGAGTTAGAGAGTGATGGCATGCTTCCAAATGTTCAGTAAGCCTTGTTTTTATCTTAAGGTTCAAGGTCAAAGTTCGAAAACAGAGAATCATAAAGGATCTGAAGACTTTAGTTGAAGTGGATCAGTGTAGTAATGGCAAGGGATGAAAGAGGAGCAGAGGATGGAGAGAAGCACTGGGTGTGAAAAGAGGAGAGATTAGAGAGGTGATGAACTTAAAAGCTGAGAGAAAGATGAATAGAACAGGAAAAACATAAGAGGTGAGGAAAAATCCAAAGGGAGGAACATTTATGGGGAAGACAAAAACCAGGAGAGGGGAAACAGGAAACAGGAGTAGGAGAGGAGCAAAACAGAGACGTGAAATTCAGAGAGAAGAATCTAAAATGTACGGTGGAAAAGAGGGAAAAGGAGAACTTTAGGACTGAAAAGGGAAAGCGATATAATTAAGAAAGGAACTGAAATAAAAGTGGAAATGAGAGAGAAACTAATAAAAGGAGACACAGGGGGAGAGAGAAGAAGGATAGGTGGAGAAAAGTTGAAGGAGGTGAAGAAGGGAAAATAAAAAAGAAGGAATTGATAGCAGAGGGGAGAAGACGGGAGGAGAAAATGGAGTGTGGAGGAGGAGGTGAGGATTGAGAGATTTACAATGAAAAAGATGAGAAAGAAGAGGACTGGGTGACGAGGAGACAAACTGCCTCTCTTTTGTCTTCTTCCTCCTCTTACTTTTTAAATTCAGCAAGATGAAGTATTTACCTGTGAAATAAACGCTCAGCGACTCCGGCAGGCCTGTTGGGGTTAAAAACAGAAAGGAGTTACAGCCAGGAAGCGATAAAAGTAAAAAACAGAGGATTCATGCAGAGGTGACAGTGTTTCACTAAAGAGAAAAGCCCATACTGTATAAACTCAGAGGCAATGAGGATGATTTACTGATGCAAAGCTTCCACTGGAGCTCCATAAACCCAGATTAAGAAAATAAAAGTATGCTTTGACCTCGGATTATGGAAGATCTTTTTAAACGGAAGTCTGTGCTTCTGGAGACGTCTTAGCGTCCTCTGATAGTTTTCGAAATGCTAAAACTCTGCTCTTCCTTGTCCAACCCATCCACCTCTTCAATTACTAACCATGCAAGGCTAATTTTATTGTTAAAAGCTTTGCAAGAAAAAAGGTGATCATGAGTGGCAATAAAAGACAGAAACACTAAAGACTACTCAAACTTTAATAATGATTAACATGTAATACTGTAATATAAACGTTCAGTTAGGACCATTTGTTTTGGGACAAGCAATCAATATGTGATTGAAGTTTGAGGGGTTTAACAATTTTTACACACAGTCTCCCATTTTCAGAAGCTCAGGTGTAATTAGACAAACTATTAAAGCCATGTAAGGCTTTAAAAGCTGTTAGGATATCTGTTTTTACATCTAACAGTTAGCTAGTGTAGACGAGGTCCACTCTGAGTGGGGCAAAGTCACAATTTGGTGTAAAAAGGTGTAATATAATTAGAGATTAAAGTCTCAAATTAATGACCAGAAAGTGGACTGTCATGAGGGGTTTTAAAGGCATGATTTTAGCCCAGAGTGACCATTTTATCAGAAGCATCCAGGTGAAAAGGAGAGAGTTGTTTTTTAAAACAAGTCAAAAACACTCAGACTTGACACTGACTGTTTACTGATAGCACCTGTGTGACCCTCAGGCTCTGCAGTCGGCCTGATACGACGTGTGGATGCTGCTAATGGCAAATGATTATTGAACCTTGGTGCAAATGGTGTCTGTCAGTGGATAAGACTATTCAAACCCTTTGTTTTAGCTACAAGCTTCGTTTTTACAACATGAGCATTCGCTTTACTCGGTCAAAGCTCTATAATGTAGTGATAGACAAACAACAACAAACTGAACCAGTGAAGTGAGACTTATTATTTTTCATATATTAAATATTAAAGTGCAATGTGCTGTGCGCTTTTAATAAACAGCACAGTGAGTGACAGTGGACGCCACGCTGAGATTAGATCAACTTCAGCTCTTGTGTTATAAAGCTGAGATCACTCCTTCAAAGTACTTGTAGCGGGCAAAGTTTAAAATAACTCATGTCAGCTGCTTGACATGAATTATGTTTGATTTTTCAGAAACGAATCGACAGATAGTTTAAACAAAAACAAGGACAACAATCAAAGAGGTAAAACAGTGTAATTCAGTGACAGGTCTCTGAACTAAGTACATCTGGCTGATCTGGTGCATAAAGGAGCTGGAGGTGAAGTGTGAGTAACATCTTACCGGTGAAGGAGTACTGGTAGAGCTCCTGGAGGTGTGATGGAGCCTGCGGTGGTCTGTAGATGATCTTGCCGTTATTCACATCAGCCTGAGTGAAATGTTGCACGTGTGTGTATGGCCTGTCCCGATGCTCGATGGTCCCTGGAAACAAAAAATCAGCACATGATGAGATTTTGTTTGAGCGTGTAGCAAGTGAAACAGTACAGAGAGCCGACCGGGTCACTAAAGATGCTGAGAATAAAGCTGGAAGTAAGATGTTAAAGGCCAAGCAGAAAAACAAAACGTTAATATCGGAAATGAAGAAATGCAGGATGTGAGGTCACAGGGGCTGAGCAAAGATGCTGTGACGTCCCTCTCGCCAGTTCATCTCTGCCAGCGCCTCTCAGAGGACACTGAGATGTTCCCAAGCCTGTGTTCCCGCCCCGGGGTCTCCTCCCAGCCGGACATGCCCCAAATACCTCAGATACGAGTTACCCAGGAGGTTTTTGCACATTGGAGTCTGAGGCAACATTTAAACAAGACTTTGTTAGAAGGCTGTTAGCTACCTTGTAGTAAAGGAAAGCTGCATGCCATGCTTTAATTGAAACAATAAGGATGCTAATTTCTCCCAAACAGCTCTTCCCTCTGAAAATGTTTGGTGAAATCCTTTAACTTCCAACTTTATTCTTACAGAAAACCGGAAACTTCAAACTTATTTTGACCAATATATTGTCATTTAACTAAAAAGAACTAAAACTTTCAGGGTTTTTTAAAAAAAACCTAAAAAATCCTGAAAAACATTCCCACAAAAACAGAAGTTTTCCTCCTCCTTCTGTTTGGCGCCGTTCAAAAAGTCTACACACAAATTTATCAGTCCATTAGCTGATGAATATGACCCATTGTAAATCGCTTTTCTCTTTCATTAGACAGAGAGCTGAAAATGATGCAGCACTCTGACAGATGGTCCAGCGATGAAATGAATGTCTGAACGGCACATTAAATTCTGCAAAAATGAAAGCAATGCTCATCCTTATACACGGAAAGACGATAATGAAATTATTTTGGAGGGCGGCGACGCTACTGAAGCAGACTTGGAAGCAGAAGGTTGGTAGTTTCTGCGACTCCAAGCTGGGAAAAGCCAAACTCTTGAGCCAGTCATTACAGCTAAGTGCTCTGCAGAACATGATCCCCCTTCCTAAACTTTGTAGTCTCACTTTATTTTATTATACACTAATAAAATGTAACAAGGTGAACTTTATACGCTCTTTATTAGAATGGGAACAAACACAGTTGTGGCCTCATAAGGTTCCTTACACATAAATTATGATCTAATACACTGCTGTTCATTCTAAAGTATACAACACTTGTGCTGTAACACACTAAATTATATCTGGATTAGCCTTTAAAATAGTGAGTTAAACACTGAGGTTGGTGGGTAACACATTCAATAAGCCTTTACACAGTTGGTTCACTTGCTGAAACTGAAATGAGGCCACTTAAACCACATCAGGTCATATGACCACAGATCCAGGTGTGATATAAATGATATGGCTGCAGTACGAGTCTGTGTTGATGTACTGGTCCATGTACACTGCAACGCTCGCCTACTGTTGCGAGCTGGGAACAAAACCAAGACTGCTGGTAGAGATTAGAGCTGCTGCTCCACATCGAAAACAGCCAGCTGAGGTGGTTCAGGTGGTCCAGCCTCTTGGATGAGGTGCTTCAGGCAACGGAGAGATTGCATCTCTCAGCTGGCTGGATATCCCCCCGAGCAGCTAGAGGAGGTGCCTGGTGAGAGGGAGGTGCGGGCATCTCTGCTTTGACTGCTATCCCTGCAAACTGATCCGGATAATTGGCAGAAAATGGGATTGGAAGGATGCCACTATCCAAAGCTAAAACCACTCTAGGGAAAATGACTTTCTTGGAGACTAATTTGGACACATTACAAGAGAAGCGTGTCGTAACATGATGTGCATGTACTTTGTTCCTATTTTCCCCCGTTCCTCGTTATTAAACACAACATGAAATAAAGGTCAACATTTTAAAGGAATATTTTGGGTGACAAGTCATAAAAAAACATGATCAGTTGTATATTTTAACCTACTTCTTTGATCAAACGACAAATTAACCGTGTGATAAACAAACAAGGATGTGATGTCCTGATAGCCTCCCCAGAGTAACTTCCACTGAGCACTACGAGGTCTCAACCTGCAGGAAAGTAACGTTTTCTTCTATCAAGGTACAAATAACTCTGTAACAACCTCATGCATTATGCACCAATAATAAAATGTGACAACATTTCAACTCCTCAGCAAATATTTGATGCCTCTGCAAATAAGAAATTAACAAGAAGTAATGGCTTACTCAGAAAGAACAAGACAAGCTTGTCTGCAGTGCTCTGTTATCCTCTAATACCAAAAGATGTGACTGTACTTAGCCCTCATTTTAGATAATGTAAGACTTCCAGACAAGTATAAAACTCCTGTTCTCTACCTATTTGCACATCTCAGGTAAAAACTCTGAGCCTTGGTGCTTCCTCTCATGATTTGCTGTAGTTTTCTGTCCATTCTCACAGCTGCTTTACATTTTTGGTTTATTCTCATCAATACTAAATTTCATTTTTTGTGGTTTTGGTCATCACATTTCTGTTTTGCAGGCTCGTGTTTTGATTCATTGTTATTCTAGTATTCTGAGCTTTAGTGTGCCTGGATTATGAAGTTCTGCTTCATGTGTTGGGGTAGTTGTGAATTCTTCAATTTCTGCATTCTCCCCCTCAGTTAGTTCGTTTATATTTCCGTGTCTTTTTTGTTTCAGTTGGGGTCGTAGCTCTCTTCCTGTTTTATTCAGACAGCTAGTTTCCTCTTGTGTTGATTTGGGTTTTCATTTGTGTCCTGATTGTTTGTGCCTGTGTCTCATTCCCCAGCTGTGGTTATCACTAATCAGCCTTCTGTGTGCATACACAGTCCAGGCATCCCAGTATGCTTTGCTAAGGAACCTTTTACTCTGTCTCTCTGTGCATTTCACGTCTGTTTGGTTATGTTTTTGCAGCCTCGGTAAATTGGCTCATTTTCTGTGACACATAATTTAGTCTAATCATGTCTAATTTTGATATGACAGCACTACCATGTGGATTATGTGTCTGACCAAAATTTGGCTGTAAGGTGTCTATCTCCAGTCGAATATGGCACAGAGCAGTTCATCTCTATTTGCATTTTTCCACAGATGTTCTGGATGCAAAGAGTTTTCCAGTTTTATAACAACCCCCCCAAAAAAACAGGAAGAAACCTTTGCCTCATTGCACCGCTCCATCCCACCAAATTGTGGATTAACAGCACCTGACTTGTGACTATTTAAGTGATAATTAATGAGAAACAGTATAACTTCTTGACACTTTAACTTCTCCCTCTCCAGCTCTGAGCTGAAAATCAAACATGAACTCAGAAACCTACCCACTGTATCTAGTTATAAGGCTCCTACCCCCTGACAGGAGTTAGATTTTAATCCTGTTAATCTTTTCCACATTATGAGGGAAAAGCTGCACGAGTGTGTGTGTGGCTGACCTTGTCCCGATGGTAGAGGTTTGGTGATACTGTAGACGAGCTTCTCGCTGGGAGTCTCAGTGTGTGTGTGGCTGACCTTGTCCCGATGGTAGAGGTTTGGTGATACTGTAGACGAGCTTCTCGCTGGGAGTCTCAGAGTCGACGAAGGACAGCGCTGAAGGCGTTATCTCTGTCACCTGCGCACACACAGACAAGACAACACACACAACACACACACTCTCACACACACACACACACACACACACACACACACACACACACATTAAGGTGAGAAACGAGGTAAGCTTCTATATCCTCTATTTCTAGGCAGAAATAGAGAAGACAGCCACAAACATAAGAAGGAGTCTCTTTAGGATCGAAAGCATTTCACCTGGAAAAAAACTAAAAAAGTTGTAAGATGCAAGAAAAAACTTTTGGCTGCTCCCTTTTCACAGTGAAACTCAAAAATGTGTCAAAACAAACCCACTAATACAGGATAATGTCACCAAAGCCACTTCACAATTAAAAAAAAACCCCAAATTATTCAGAGGAATACTTAAAAAACGAATTGTAATTGTAACTAATTGTTGTGTGACTAACAGGACAACCTGGATGTGTGTAGTCGTTTTGGCGACACTGCAATCTATTAGTGGGAATTCTTGGACTAATTTGTAAGTTTCTTCTTATAAATTTGTTTTTTTCTCTCCTCATAAATAAAATCAATCTTAAATATTGATGTTACGTTTGTTTGGATTTGCACTTTATAGATATTCCCCACATGCTCGTCTCTATCGTCTCACACCCTGATGGAGGACGACTCCATCCTGGACTCGCCACAATGAAAGCGAGTTGGTGATTTGATGTTGTGGCTGAAATAATGTGGTTGAAAAGAGCACAGTTGGTGTTTAGAAATGATTTGTATGATTTATTGGTCCCAGAAGTTGAAATATGTGAATTAATTTCCATTTATCATAAATCATTTTTTTTCTCATTTTCTCATCCTCACTGTGATCTTTTCTCTTGTAAATTTATGAGCTCCTTTCTTTAAAATTTCTGAAGTTTTCTCTTACAAATGTACGAGAAAAAAACTCACATATTTATGAGTTTTATTCTCTTACATTTCCTGTCATTTTTCCCCTCACAAATTTATTACTTTAATCTCAAAATCTGAAGGTTTTTTCCCTCCAAAAACTACAAGCACTCCCCAGACCACTTACATTTTCTTATTACCTTCAAAAGCTCTAATATGCCGTCCGAGTCGCTAATTCTTGCAGCCACTCTAATGTCTCCTTTTTTAATCAACGCTGTGTCGAGTACGAGACTTTATAAATGAACTTTACACAGTCGAGTTTTAAACATGGATTTTGCTGAATTATCTCCCCAGTCAACCTTTCTGTAGCTGAACCTACATCCAATGAACAATATACAGCAGATTGCACATTTATTTATGTATAAATGGTCAAGGTCACTCAGCTCAGTGGAATGAGAAACAGATTTCAGGGTGAAAGGTCACCAGTCTCTCTGGTCGCTAAGCATCTTCTCATAAGTTCCTTAATCTTCTCAAAAGCAACATTTTTGGGGGGTTTGTTTAACAGGAAATTATACAGAAAGGATGTCAGGGCGATGTCTGAGGACAGGCAGCTGACAGTAAAGCGACTTTGACTTCGGATCTGTTTTTTACTTCAGACTAGAAACCAAAAAAGATCAGCTGATGGTTATTCACAGTCAAAACTATTGCTGAGTTTTCACAAATAATCATGTAGTTTAGTGCAAAATAAGAAAAAATGTATTTTACTGTTACAGCAGTCAAAACAGTGAACAATAAAATAAAATGGCTTAAGAGGTGAAAATCTAAATGTGACATTTTCATGTAAAAAGCAGAATATAATACAATAAATGGGTCTACAGAGTAAATTAAAAAAAGAATGTGCATTATAGTAGCTGTATAATTGACAATAACAACATCATCTGTTGTTGAAGCCATTGTTTTCTAAGACTTTCATACAGCATGTCATGGCTTCCATCATGGTGTCTTTTTGCGTGTTTTCCTCTCACCGTGATCTGTAGGTCGCAGTCGGGGGCCAGTTGTGGGAATCCTGGGATCTGAGGCATGACTCCTATGGTGAAGGTCTGAGCATCGCTCTGAACGACTGGTTCTGCCTCTGTGGAAACCTGCACAGACAAACAGGTACACAGCCTCCTATATGAGAGCCGCATCTTCAACAAACTCCATCCACCTCAGCATCCTTAGTCTGCCTCTGCTCACTGTAAGGCTTGAAAAGCCTTAAGTCTCAATCTGCAGCATACCAGCTGAAACAATGTCTTGTTTTTCCACTGCAAAGGCATATTATAATTAATTTCTGAGTGACACAGCTGATGACATACTCCTGAGAACCACCAGAAGTAAGACACAACCGCTTTGATGAAAACAAGCTGCAGTCTAATAACTGAACAGGAACATAAAGTGAGCCTGGCATCAGGCTGCACTGCAGGAACGAGCCACAGAGACTCAGTGTGCTTCTTTTCATAAATCACTGCCTACACCGTGAGAATATTAAAAAAGAGACGTCGATCTGAGTAAAATTCAGCTCGTGTTTTCGTTTTTCTTTCAGCATTGGAGCAGTTATTACTCTGAAGCCACGCCACTGCTGTTTGCTCTTAAACGATGTTCTGAAATCCACACTAAACGTGTTTCAAGACTTTTAAAAAAGGACGCAGATGGAGCCTCTGAGAGTTTTTGTTAAGGAGCATGTTGCTCTTTGTGTTGACAGCAGTGGACAGCTGTTCTGTTTCTCAACGTATGCTTCAGGCTGATGTGTCTGTGAAGTAAAAACTTAAAGTAATCACTTACAAATTAAAAATAATTTGTCATCTCTCATACTGAAAAACTGTGGAAATGTCACCTCACGTGCAGTTACTGTTTGTGTTGCAAGGAAAATATTCAGTGGGTAAAATAACACCCGTATATCACAGACTTTATAAAACAGTCAAAGAAGCCTGAAATGAAATCTGAGGGAAAATCCTGAAATGCTGAAGATGGTGGTCGTTCCACGTCTGAGAGCCAATCAGCAGCTGAACCAGGAAACGTAGGAGCCAATCATGTTGTTGCATTGATGAATACAAACTTTAGAACTTCAGGCTAAAGATCTGGTTTAGGATGTGTGATGTCAGAGATATTTACTCTGTGGTGTAGTAAGCGTACTTGTAATTACATTTGCACTTATTTGACTTTTGTATAAATTTTTTTCGGCTAAGCAAAATGAAAAGTGGTTCAGCATTATTGTCTGTGTTTCAGTCATTTTGTTTCTGCGTTTGCATTTTAGTTCTAAAGACATATTTGATGTTTGTTTAATATGTTATATGGTAACATTTTAATCTATGCTTTGGTGATTTTGCATCCTTGGGTTTTATTTAGTGTCATATATGTTCAGTGTTGGGGAGTAACGGAATTTAGCATCAGCTTTACGTGTGTAAAATACAAAAAATGAGTAACTGTATTCCGTTACAGTTACCGTTAAACAGAATACAGTTACTTTGTTGAAATGAAACAGTTGTAGGCGCTGCTCACCTGGTTGAGAACAGATAGCCCACATGCTCACAGCCTGCAAAGGCCTGATGAGCAAGTCTTCCCTGGACCATTTTCTGTGCGTCACTCCCCCTGACTCTCTCTCTCTCTAATATCCTTTCAAAACTAAAGGTCATCCATATGAAAACTGGAGTTAGAGGCTTGGCCACTTTGATTGATGCTCGAGTCGCTGTTGGTATACTTTTTGAATTATTTGAATTATATTACAGCTCACTGTGTTGAAATCTGTCCCTTACTTTTGGTATTTAATTACAGTACTTTATGTATAAGTATCTGTGTCTTTGTTAGTCAGTTCAGTCTATAACCTTTGACCTCTCTGCGTGTTTATGAAGCAGCTGATTGTTTCAATTAGAATTTAAGATTACCCTAATTGAATTGCTAAATAGAGAAAGATGATAGTGGATAAGTCTAATCGTCTCTGTGTTCTTCACTGGAACAAAACCAGATTTGAAATTTAGCTCTCTTCCTGTCTGCTGACGCAACACTTTTGAAAACTTTTAAGCGAATGCACTGTTGTCTTACTCGAGCCCTCTAACGTATGTAGCCATAAATTGTTTAGTCCCCTGATAGACATGCAGAGGCAGAAGCCTTGGCTGTTCATTCTAAAAGCCAATTTCTGTCCCCACTTACTTATTCCGCTGCAGCTTGTTCCTGTCACATCAGTGGCATTTGCAGGAAGGAAAGTTCAAGAACCTGTAGTCAGCTTTGTCAGTCAGAAGTAATGTAGGAGCAGCATGAAGCCTGGAGTCAGCGGCACCAATCACAAATAATGTATTGTCATGAGAGGCAGTGTTGAGTCAGCTGGATTTATTGAAGCTGGTGCTGCTGCAGAAAATTATTGATCATGTTGATTTGCTTCAACATAAAAAGACATACCCTATTTTATAATCTTCATAAGGTTTAAAATCCAATCCATGAGACTTCCAAAGAAAGGTTCAGCAGCTTTATCGCTGCCAGAATACTGCAGGACTGCTACACGTTAAATTTAAGACCTTTTAATACCACTTTAAATAAAATTTAGGACCTCCATGCAACGGGAATACACATCAAAAATTAATATGGACTTTTTGTAGGAAGAAAAAAACCCATTCGTGTCAGTTAAAAGAGAACGGTAAGGTAAGCAGGGTGTTTTCCAGGATTTTGGGGTCATGAAAGAAAAGAAAAGAAAACAAGGCACAAGAGCACACAGGAAGACAAAATATTTGAAATAAAGTGACAATTGGCATTGATAAAATCAGGAATGTCTTGCAGGCTCATTTGTAGCTTCACATGAAATTGGCAGATTTACTGTTACAGTTTCTCTTTATTTGTTTCATTTTATCGTAACTTTAGTCTGAGAGTTAAAATTGATTTTCTACAACCTGGTTCTCATCAATCAACATCTGTTGTAGTTCTAATAATTACCATTTTCTTAAAACATGCACTTTCCTTGCGTTTTATTCACATATTGTCTTAAATCTTTTAGTTTTATACAAAAGAAAAAGATGATGTAAAAGAAAAATGAATTTCCCCTCTCTGCTCAGCATACAATAATGACAAGCGCTTTAACCTTTGTCCTTTAGATTGAGTATTTCGGGTGATGGATGTGGATGAGTCTCTCTGCATGAGTCATTTCACAATTTCTCCACATCCTCACATTAAAACTAATGCAGCCCGTGTGACTGTTTGTCAAAATCAAAGGATTTGTCCTTATTGAACATGACTTTTAACTTTCCCTGAGAATGATTAAATGGTGACTCAGTGGCTCCGCATTGAATTTAAACATACAATTGAGCAATCATTCAAGTGTGAAGTTACTGTCTTCAGTCCCAAGACTCGTTCCTTATGTTTGTCTTTAAATTTGAGCCTAATTTGGAAAAATGCGTTGAAATTTGCATGACTTCAAATGGCCTCTGATTATAACTGATTTATAATCCTGTACTGTGCATGAGACAGGGCTACTGGGACCTCACCTGGAGCCAGATGCGGGGTATGGCTTCAGGGTGAGGGTTTAGTGGCAGGGCTTTAGCCCACGGGGCCCAGATGGGCTTCTGTCAGTCCAGCACCCACAGGACAGGGCGTAGACATTTAGTGCAGGCAGTTCGGTGGTTTCTGAAACTGTGTGTATCTGTGTATGTATTTAGTTTATGCAACAACTATTGACTGTACTGCTGCACACTTTTCTTTTTTTTCTTTTAATCTCAACAGTCATATTTTCCTGCTTAAAGAAAGATAAATAACTTGTCAATAAATCTTTTAAATTGTTTTTGGAGCCGTCTACTTACTGTGATTGTAACATAGCTGTCTGTTATCTTCCCATTAACAAACCTGATAAACCGCTTAAGATACTCCTCAGCTTCCAAACAACAACATAAAAGTCAAGCATGAGAGGAAAAAGTTGCAGGGGCACAGATCCCGATCCGTCTGGTTTGAACGTGGTTTATGATTTATGTGCAGAATGCTGCTGAGCACCCTCCGTTCTGCTGCAGAGCCCAGAGTTGCAGAACCAAAGTGAATTTCAAATCAACCCATTCCAAGAAGGCATCGCATGCTTTTGATAAAAATCCAGAGGAGGACAATAATACCACCCTGACAAGCCGTCAAGTTTAATCGCTACCTTTAACAAACCGCACCGATGATGGGTTTCGCTTCTCTATGTCACGTCTTCACCACTTCCCGGAGAAATGATGAGACACTTTCGAATTTAATTTGAATTGAGCACTGTGTAAATTGAAATGCATCTACTCTGATGGATGAAGCCAAAATGTGAGGGGTTGGACGGAGTGTGAGGGATGATTAGATGTAGCTACAAGCTTTTGGCTGCCTCTTTTGTTTTTCTAATGGAGGTGATGTGAAGCCGAGGCTGGCGTGAAAACACTCTAACCGTGGTGTGATGAATGCGCCATCGGTTTTAGTGCAATTGTCTTGAATTTGAAAACAATTTCAGTGTAATTTGGTGTCATTAACGCTAATTGAGATAGGCCACTGTGGGTGGATTTTAAGTGCCTATGCTTCACACGGAAAGTTTGAAAAGAGGGGGAAGAAATCTGCAATGAAAAAACTGGAACGAGGAAAGAGGGAAACAAACCAGGAGGCATAAATCCAGCCAAAATGCCGGCTGCATTAACAGACACTAAACCAGTAGTGGAGTGTTTGGTGCATAAAACAAATGCTGAATGATAAGCAGGCTGTACTTTCTCAAATAAAAAGCAAAGAACATTTTTATAGCATCCTATAAACCACACAGTCTCAAACGGTTACAAGAATAAAGAAGAGAAGAGCAGAGGCGGTAAGTGGTGAAAGACGAGCTGGAGGGAGAGATGTTGGAAAGGTTGGAGACTTTTGGTTTCCAAAGGAGAGAAGAGATAAACACAGAGAAACACAACAGAGAACAAGGCCGCAAAAGCAAAAATATTACAAGGAAAATGTGGCAAAATGTGTGCCTGTCATCATCTCCATTTCTTGTTTCTTATCCCCCTGAAGTTTCATCTCACGGCGCAGTTCATATTCATCATCTTTTATCGGGTTTTGGAAAATATTGATACCTTGCTGTGGTATTAGCACAAAGTCAGTGGCAAAAATATCTCAACCCCCGCAGTTCAGTTCAAAAATAATCCCTATTTGACTTAAACTGGGTTCAGCTGCTTTATACAGTCCTTTAAGCCAGCTTTCTTCTGATTGGCTACCCTTCACAAACAGAAGGTTTGAATGACAGATGGGTGTGTCTTATGCCTGAGATGACCACATTATTATCCACTCTGGCTTACATAATATGACCTTACCATCTAAAATTTTAGTCATGTTCAACATAAATATCCAGAAAATAATGAAAGTCATATTTTATGTGTTATAAACGTGTAAATATGTTTTGTTGTTACATTGTATTAATCATGTTTTATTGCATCTGCATTTTGTTTACTTAAAGTTTTGACACTTGATGGTTTTGCTTTGCAACAACTTCATAATAAAAGAAGAAATCTGTGATGGTTCGAGTTGGTTTTCTGTTCACTTTCAGTTTTGACGGTGCAGCTTTCTTTGTTTCAGTTTTGTATACAAAACAATAAGACACTGTGGATAGAGCTCTAATAGAGCTGTATGCTCTCCCTGCAGGAGTTAGAGGTTTTTTCCTTTAATCTGTCACCTGTATAAATGTTTCATGCTTTAAACTCAAACATAATCTTTTCATCTCAGCTGCCAGGAGCCAAAACAAGGGCATGTGTGAAACTGGTCCTCTGTGGACAGGGTGCATCAGCACTGACCTGGAACAGGAAGGAGTCACCGCTGCTGCCGGTGCCAAAGTGGCGGTACCAGACCGCGCCGTCGTTCACGTCTTGCTGCGTGAAGGAAGTCGTTGCTGTAAAGCTGCGGTCATCTGTTAGCGAGGGAAGCCAACCCTCTGGGGGGGCGTCAGCCGGCATGGACACCAGCAACACCTCACCTGGACGGAGAAGGTGAGTAAGATGTTATATTTACCTTAAAAGCAAAATTAGAGTTAAAATTTATGTTTAATAAAGTTTAGAAATTACATTTGAAATTAATTATGTACTAACTGTTGGAAAATCTACAATATTACAATCATTCAGCAGATAAAACAGCTTGTTTGGAAATATTAAAGGAAAGTGTCACTGAGTGTTAAGGTACCATATTTGGGTTGGCCCTCTGAGGGGAGGATGCTGTAGACAATGTTATCAGTGCTGACTCCTTTGAAGTCTGTCTGCAGGTACTTTTTATCGAGTCGCACCATGCCTCCCTCTTTCACCCAGGTCACTGGGATGGACTGCATGTGAGGAGAGTCTCCAGGCTGAAAAGTAACAAACACACACACATCAAATTAATCAAAATGAATTTCAAATAGTTTAACATTATCTCTGTGGGAAACATTAAAGCCCACAGAAGTAATTTCCATGTACTCTAATTTATATTTGTTGCTTTACTTCAGTTCTGGGACGTCCCCACACGTCCTCTGAAACCGAATGCGGTGGTAAATACAATAAATTGAGTCGGAGCTTCTGTTCAGGCGTTGCCGTCATCCCACATGTTATTTCTGGATTTCTTTATTCGAGTGGTGTTTATTTATCTTAATTTAATGATGATAATGATTTCATGTTAATGACGATTATATTTATTCACTAAATTCCACGTTTACACCACCTTTATTCTCTCTATGGCTTGGACACGAGCCATCTAATATTTGCTTATAGCTCGATGAATAGAATTAAACAACAAAATCTATTGGAGCGCTCAATAGAAACTATTCCAACTTATTTCTGAGCGATTTCTTTCACCATGTTCATATTCATTTTTTCACAGGCAAAGTCACATGTCTACAACAAGCTCATTTTTTACCCTTTATGTTTCTCTGTGTTCTTCATAATAGATGTTCAAGCTGACTGAAATCATTAAATTAGTATCTGTATCTGCACTTCTACATTTGGTACGTTCTGTTGAGACCTTGATGTTGACATGTCCTTCAAAGTAAAAGTTTATTTACAGTTTAGGAAGTATCCACCAACTAACTGTTACACTTAAGATAGCTGTCACCAACCCAGGTGTTTTCATTTGTTGCCTTCAGCATCGTCCAGTAAGAGTTTTAATGCAAAGGTAGAAATGAATGTTTGGGAAAGTGGTCAGTCAATAATCTCCTCGTCTCAGGCTTTTAGTAACACCAAGTTGTATTTTGTTCAAATTAATTACCAGTGAGGTTAATTTACAATTTTAAGGTGACGACTGAACTGGGCTCCCAGTTTGGAGTTGCCAATGTAACCAAAAGCATGCATAAATGGGAAGCATAAAACGGGGATGGCAACAATAAAACATCGCATCAAAAGGAGGATCTTTTTTGGAGGTGGCTTGCAAAGCAGCTTGCAGCCGAGCAGGAACTATAAACTGGCTTAAGAAGCTTAATTAGTGCAACTTACATATTCAGCATATCTGCGAAGCTGAATGTGGGCTGCACACTACGCTCAGTGGATGATAAACCTGTGCTTTTATGAGTTGTCTTACTGCTTCTGTAAATTTCTGTTTGTAACTCGAAATTTTGGAAGGACAACATCCATCCATCCATTTCTAACGACCATCTAATGGTGGATTTCTCCAGAACACTGTAAGACTGAAAACACAGTTATGGGGGATCCAATCCCACTCACCATAAATAAATGAAATACATTATCCGCTGATTACCATTGAAATCTTCACAGACGCCAGGTATTTACTGGAGGTCTTATGTAAAACTTTAAACAGGTGCAGCGGCATCACGTTCGTTTACATTAAATTAGCTTTCAGACACAGTAAACTATACAATATGATAAGTGTCAGTTAATTTTCATCCTCAGATGCAGCTCGATGCCAGTCTCACTTTACTGTTTGGCTTCTTTTAATCCACATCTGTCCTGAAATCAAGTTTGTGAGCCTTTCGTGAAGTTGTCTGCCAGCTTCAGCATCACCTGAGTGCAGTGAGTCTACCCTGAGCTCCAAAAAACCTCAATATGTGTTTTCTTTGTTTGAGAAGTTTCAGCTCAACTTCACAATCAGACTTATTTTTGTGATGATTTATTGATCCACGACAGAGTTCCCCCCCCTCCAGGAGAACAAAGAGCAGGATTAGCTATAGAGAGCACACAGAGTTGGTGGATGAGTCAATATCGCCTGAGGGCATTTCAACAAAGACAATTCCTGCTGTCGGGGAGGTTTTGAAACTAGACCTCTTGCTCACTGTGTCATGCCGCTGTCTAAATAAAAACAGATATGACACACTTCTCGGATGTCTAGAAAAGATAGACATCATGGATATACGTTAACATAAGCAATAAATTATGCATTTGATTATAAGGTTTATATTTATAGAAATTACCTGCACAGTACAGGCGTTTATGGGTCAAATTCTACAAGTAATTTTACATTATTTTCAGCTGAGGAGGCACAACTATGCTTTCTCACATACATTAATAAAACCACACTACATATAATATTAAATACTATAGCTACACTGTAAAAAAATACATATAAAAATATGGTACAGCGTGTCATTTATAAAGTGTGAAATGCATTGTGGGAGAAAGAACTAAAAATGGTGGGAAAAGTTAAAGAGAAAGCAGAAGAAAATGCATAATCTGAATAATCTGGTACTATTAGGGTGAGGGGTACTTGGATCTCAGAGAGTTAAACAGTCACATTACTTCAGTATCAGGTTTATTTTAGGAAGTTTAGAGGTTTTCTTAGGCTTTAATCACAACAAACACACACACACACCTGGCTATTTACTGCAGGGGATAATCAGCATATCAGTGGCATAAACACTGTGGCAGTAGGTGGTAATGCATTACAAGAGTGCACACAGGTGTGCGATGCTGAATGTGGGTCTCTGTGTTTGAAGATAACAACCTGCTGACCATCTGTGGCTCCTCTGCCTGCCGCCTGCTTGATCCAATTCACATTATTTTAGTGTGGCAGCAGAAGGCAAAGAATCACAGATCAGGAAGAGAAAACACATAAGTCAGTACGGCAGGCTGTTAGCTCACAGCCCACATCATCCACGAGATTATCAAACTCTCAGGCTGAACATCAAGGTCTCTCAAGGACATTCATACCCAGAAGCAGCACGCTTTTCAAAATAAAACCGATCAAAGGTGCCTGTTTGGAATCATGGCTAATATCCCCAGATGTCTAACGTTCTCTGACCTGCAGCTGCACTCCAGGTTGTAAATTTCCCATTTTTTCTTGGATAATACACAAATCTAATTAGTTTTTTTCCATGTGAGATTTGCGTTGCCTCATTAGGTAGACAGACAATCTAATCTCTTTCAGACAGGTGCAAAGAAAATGACATGCTCATGGAAGTTTCATTGCTTTTGACCTCTGGGAGTAAAGAAATTAGATTTACGTAGCATAATTCACAAACTGACAAAGTACAGAGAAGGTGAAATACTGAGAAAACACCTGAGAGGACGAACTAAACAAACGGGTTTTAAAGTAGGTTAGAGACAGACCTCCATAGTCAGGATCTACTCATTAATCTGCTCATTAAACTGACTCATTGTCTCTGGGGGTAAGTGGGCTGTTATTTAGTTCTGGAAATGATGCCAAATCAATAACATTAAACTGCAATTTCCAAATAACCAGCATAAATAAAGACATTTGAGGTTTGATACCTGAAAAGTGGACTGCTCTAATAGGCTGCATTAATTAACTGCATTAACACACTGACAGGGTTTTCCCACAAACAGATTTTTCGAACCCACCATTCGGGTGTTAGCCAGTAATAAAACAGCATTAATTTTACAGCAGGAAGTTTTGTTTTCACATCCTTCACTAAAGCACATTAAACATTTCTCCTGGTCAAATACACAGAGCAATGCATACATTTCTGTCTGTCTGTTAATTAAAATTAGCAGTTAATTATTATGATGCAAAATAAGTGACTGCACAAACATTCACCCGCTTCGAGTCACATCCAATCATCACTGAGCCTTTATGGATAGGGCTCAGATGGGCTTGCACATCTGGACAGCACAATCTGACTAGACTCGTCTTTTCAAAACTGCTGAAGCTCTGTGAGGTTTCAGGTCTGGGCTTTGACTCGGCCACCTTGAAACAGTCATTTTTGACCTTAAAGCATTTTTGTGTAGCGTTTGCTGTTCATTTTATGTCACTGTTCTCGTGCAAATTAAATCTCTTCTCTGAGACTGACTCAGATTGTCTGGCAGGATCTTCTATGATGTTGTTTCATTATTTCTCCCTGTATACTTATAAGCCTTTCAGGATCTGCTGTAAAGAATAAGCCCACAGCATGATCCTGCCACCACCATGTGCTGTTTTTGTGTTGACGTGCAGCGTAAAATACAACATCGAGACCCATCAAAGTGAAGAAACTTCTTAGACTTGTGACCTCGGAGTGTCCCACATGCCCATGGGGGAATTGTAGTTGAGATTAAATATGAGATATGAGCTTTCTTTTTGTCACTCTCTGCTAAGGTTTACACTGACTGTATGCAGAATAGGGCTGGACCATATCATACCATTCACAGTAATACCGCTATAATGTTCAGCAACGATAAGGAAATGAAATATCGCGATAGAATATGGGTAAAACGCGCATGCGCAGTGCCTTTGTTTACATACGCACATGGCGGCGATGGAGAATGAGAAGGGCGAAAGCGTAACGTTGAATGAAACGGATGAACCAGAAGTGGTTTGTAAAAATGCTGCAACTTCAGTGGTGTGGCACTGGTTTAGCTTTCGTCTGTCAGATACACAACAAAGCACTATTTTTGGTAGCGCATGCTAGCAGGCCGTCGTTATTACCGTATTGTTTGGAAAATACGACGCACTTAAAATTAATCCTTTGATTTTTCTGAAAGTCGTCAGTGCCCCTTATAATCCCGTGTGCCTGATGTATGAATTCTGGTTGTGTTTACTGACCTCGAAACGATTTTATGTACACGGCGCTCAAAAATCTGTCAAATGTTTTAGTTGATGCTTGATGGATTGTTGGAGCATTACGGCTATTGTAGGCAGGAGCCTCGCGGAGTGATACGTACTGTGCTTCAACATAATATTACCGTATTGTGTGTGTATAACCTCTTTTTAAGCTTTGTGGCTATTATACATGGTTATGCTGAGGATATGTCGGCCAATTTCCACTGGAAATGCCTTTTGGTTAAACTGTCAGCGAGGAATTTGCATTTGCACTGTTAAATGTTTATATAACTTTAATGCACATAAAAAAAGCTGCTTGTTTAAGTAAAAATACATAGATTTTTTTTTTTGCACTAATAAAGTTGTGGAGTCGTAAAGTATTTTGTC